TTTGAGAATTCGCACCTCCGATCCATCACCAATTTGGCAGTTGAAAAATCACCGCTGCTTTCTCTCACGGAAGCTATCACGAATTTGCAGACGGAAATTAAACAGTTGTCATCAAAGCCTGTCCCGTCAATTCTGCCACCTGCTGTCAACCGATGGCCAACACTTGAAGCAACTCGACCATCAAAACGATTTCGTGGATCCGACTCTGTGGTGCCTAAAACATCTGAGTGTCAGTCTGGCTCAAAACTGTTGGGTCAGAACGTCATCTCTGTACCTACATGTGAAAAACCGGCGGCAAAATTCTGGCTCTACTTGTCCCGTATCCAACGTGATGTGAGCAACGAAGCAATCTCTGAAATGGTGAAAGCCAACCTGGAACTCGAAAATGAACCTGATGTTGTGAAATTGGTCGCCAAAGGAACCGACACCAGTAACATGACCTTTATTTCATTCAATGTCGGTCTAGACCCAGCTTTGAAGAAGAGAGCTTTGGATCCGTCATCTTGGCCCCAAGGAGTTCTATTCCGTGAATTCGAAGATCACTCGGCTCAAAAATTTCGGAGACCATCTGGTGTGAATCTAACACCCACGCCAGTGACACCGCAGACGACGTTGGCAGCAAATCAACCGATGGATGGACCCCGGGACGTGCAAAAATAAGCATTTTGGAAGCCTCTTATCCACTCAGCACAGTCGCGCCGATAAATGGTGAATGCAGTCGAAGTCGTCCCGGCCCTGTGTCTGATGTGCGAGAAGAGGTCTTCCAGCTTGGTTGTCTAGGCAAGTATCAACATAATTTTCATAATTTCCTGCCTGATGATGATTCCCTCCTCAGATCACCAACTTGTTCTGCCGGGAGTACCTCCAGCCAACATGGACAACGCCTTGAACGTCCCCTACCTATGTCGGGACGCGCCGAAAATTCCTACACACCGGCATCTCGTGACAACAGTTGTGGAATTGCTGGTGACAACGATGTTTGGCTTTACTTCCAAAACGTACGTGGTCTAAGAACCAAAATTGACGATCTGTTGTAGCGGTATGTGATTGCAGTTACGATGTCATCATATTGATAGAAACGGGCCTTGACGACAGCATCAACTCACTGCAACTTTTTGGTACTGACTTTAATGTATTTCGCTGCGATCGCAGTGCTCGTAATAGCCAGAAAGCGAAGTTTGGAGGAGTGCTTATTGCCGTGGCCAGCGTTTACAAGTCTGTTGAGATAAAGACTATTAATGGTAGTAACCTGGAACAAGTAAGTGTGTCTGCCTGTATTCGCGGAAAGCGGTTCGTGCTTTGCGCTGTATATATTCCTCCAGATCGTAGTCGGGACGTAGGTGTTATCGATGCCCATTTAGCTACTCTTCGTGAATTACGTGATGCAACTCCAGATGGTGACCTTTTGCTTGCTTGTGGTGACTACAATCAACCACACATAGCATGGGATTGTCTTGATGATGGAATCTTAAACCTTGATCCTTCCACGACGTCTGCTGCCAGTGCTGCTCTGATGGATGGAACGAGCTTCCTGAATATCCGGCAATACAACTCTATTCGCAATCACCTGGGGCGCATCCTAGATTTGGTTTTCTGTGATTCCGATTGCAACATTGTAGTTAACGAAGCGGTGTCCCCATTGCTGGCTATTGATTTGCATCATCCACCGATTTTATTCTCCTTACCAACTCAATCCGATTGTGTTGACCGTGTGGAATCCCTTGATGCTGGTGAACATACGCTCGACTACTCAAAAATCGACTTCGTCATGCTCAACGAGTTCCTGATGAGCTGTGATTGGAGCAGTATTCTGGCAACAAATGACGTCAACGATATGGCAGTACAATTTTGCAACATAATTTGCAATTGGCTCACCGATAACACTCCAAGACGAAAACCTCCTATATCTCCTGCTTGGAGTTCTCCTCTCCTGCGGCTTTTGAAACGCGATAAAAATTCCTGGCAGCGTAAACTTCGCCGACATCGAACTTCTGAAACGAAACGCAACTTTCATCGCGCTTGCAACGCCTATCGTAAGCTTAATTCAACCCTATACAAGTCATATGTCTTGCGTGTCCAGACCAATTTACGTAGAAATCCCAAGAGCTTCTGGAAGTTTGTGAACTCCAAGCGAAAATCGTCGAATATTCCTTCATCCGTATTTTTTGGCGATTTGGAGTCTACTTCTATGCTCGAATCGTGTGATCTATTTTCCCGCCACTTCAGTTCTGTTTTTTTCGGATTCAGCCGCCAACGCAGATGAAGTAGAAAGAGCGGCTTGCAATGTTCCTGAGGGTCTCATCGATTTGCGTACATTTGTGGTTAGCAATATGTATGTCGTTAAAGCTGTTAGGAAGTTGAAGAAATCTGTTTCACCGGGTCCTGATGGTGTACCTGCAATCATTTTTTGCCGCTGTGTTGCTGTTTTAGCTGATCCCCTAGCTCGCATCTTTACCGCTTCGTTGCACCAAGGAGTTTTCCCCGAAATATGGAGACATTCCTTTATGTTCCCTGTCCATAAGAAGGGCGACAAACGTGACGTGACAAATTATCGTGGCATAACAAGTCTATCTGCAGCTTCAAAATTATTCGAGATCATTGTGAACGATGCTATCTTCTTTCATGTCAAGAGCTACATTTCAGCAAATAACATGGATTTATGCCAGGACGCTCAGTTACATCAAATTTGCTGGAGTTCACCTCAACATGTATAAATCACTTGGAAAATAGGGCTCAAGTAAATACCGTTTATACCGATCTGAAAGCGGCATTCGATTGCATCGATCGTGGTATTCTTCTTCGGAAAATGTCTCGCCTGGGAATTTCGGATGGTTTGGTTGATTGGCTGAAATCATATCTTTCCAACAGAACACTTCGTGTCAAGCTGGGTTCGTGCACTTCATCACCATTTGCTGCAACCTCCGGTGTTCCGCAGGGCAGCAATTTAGGACCATTGCTGTTCACAATCTTCTTCAACGATGTGACGCTCCTCTTGCCGAGTGGTTGTGTGCTCATATACGCCGATGATCTCAAACTATACATTGTTGTCAAGAACGTCGAGGATTGCCGTCAGCTCCAAGCAATGTTTATTTATTGATTGGTGCCGCTTAAACAAGCTTTCCGTCAGTATATCAAAATGTGTGGTCATGACATTTAATCGCACAAGAACGCCAATCGTATTCGATTACTCAATTGATGGATTTGTACTAGAAAGAGTAGAACAAGTAAGCGACCTAGGTGTAATGCTGGACCCTAAACTTACGTTTGACTTACACCGTTCAATGGTAATCACTAAGGCTAATCGTCAGCTTGGTTTTATATCAAGAATCTCAAGAGATTTTTCGGATCCGTACTGTTTAAAAGCACTGTACTGTTCACTCGTTTGTCCGATTATCGAGACTGCATCTGTTGTTTGGACTCCCTAGCAACTTTCCTGGAACATCAGAATAGAACGTATCCAAAAAACATTAATTCGTCGAGCATTAAGACAACTTCCTTGGAGAGATCCACTAAACTTACCTCCGTATGCTGAGAGATGTCGCTTGCTAAGCATGGACACGTTACAACGACGGCGACAAATTCAACAGGCAACATTCGTCGCGAAGTTATTAAGTGGTGAAATTGACTCTACCCACTTACTCTCTTGCTTGAACTTTCGTGCGCCAAGCAGATTTCTACGCTCAACGTTCCTATTGCGTCAAGACTCACACCGCTCTTCTACGAGTATGATTCGCACGTTTTCTACAGTTGAAGAGTTCGGCAGTGAGCATGCATAAGGGCGAATACGCGGTGATCGATTCTCTTCATCGATTTTCTCTTTGCATTGCTACAGCTAAGCGAAACAATTTTCTAGAATTTGTTCAATGCAGAGTAGTAACATGTTGTATTGGCTATCAAAAGCAACAGCAAACGCACCGAGAAACGTTAAATCTAGCGAGTTATTAACAAAAGAGAAAATCGAGGAAGAGAATCGATCATCGCGTATAGGCCCTTATGCATGCTCACTGTCGAGTTGTTCGAGTTTGGGGAACCTGCTGCTCAATTCCAGAGACGTATTATTAACTCCAGATACATTTAGTATTTGTTATGGCTTCTGGTTCATTAAGACTTATTGTCAGATGGATGTATTAAATAAAATAAAATAAAATCTTTGCAAAAGTACTATTTAATACTACCTAATGAAATAGTAAACAAATTGTCTCGTAACAGCATCATAAACAAAGATTGTAGAGAATCAAATACTGAGCGCTGTAGTGATCAACTTCACCCCGTTTACGGTACTAAAACAAATAGACTGTACTGTAGCCCACGGTAACGAACCGAATGTAGTAAAAAACAAACACCGTACCAACATTTCTTTACAAATGTATACCCGACATCTACACCCTGAATAATGTTGGTACCAGCTACACCACAAACTCAAACACGACATAAATTGGGAGCCTAACAAAAAAATGATAACTGTAGCTTGATTCACCTCATGTTCAAGGAATCCGCAGTTGTTGTTTTTTCGGCTTATCTCCAACAATATTTTCATAACAGCATTACGGCATGGCTTTGTCCTACTCCTTATTTGCATGTAAACACAATTTACCAAACATCAACAACAACATAATAGAAGCAAGATTATTTGCTGATCAAACAATAACCTCTTGCTACCAAAAACCAGAAATATTTACGACAGTTCCCTAATTAAACAAAAAAGAAGCTGTTATTCAGAAACGTGACCGAAAACATGAAGCGGTTAGGATGATATCATTTGAAGATAGGAAATCCGGATGATAACTATGAGGCGCCATGTGTTGACTGTTTTGAAGACCTTGGCTTTTTTTCTATCAGCATCACTGGAAACTGATTAGTAAACATAGATAACACGACAAGTGATCATACAAACGTGAAATTTGCAATTCAGTTCAAAATCAATAGGATTTAGAAAAATCAAACATCACTAAAATTAAGATGAAAGACCATCAATAAACCATAATTTACAACCATTGCAGATGGCCACCAGCGACTATGGCGGCAACCTTGGCTGGGACTATGCCACGTTCTTCATCTTCGTGATCGTGTCCACCCTGGTACCACTATGGGGCCGCTTCTTCGGTCGGAAGGAGAAAACCAAAGCCGAATACGTCTTCGGAATGGGCACGATCTCCGTCGGGGCCATGATGCTGTCGATCGCCCGTGGAACCCTCGGCGTCCGTTCGCTGCTCGGCTACCCGAGCGAGCTGTTCTACCGTGGATCGGCCATGTGGGAAACCCTGTACGGTATGGTGACCGCCTATCCGATCGTATGCTTCGTCTTCATTCCGGTGTACTTCAATCTGGGAATAACTTCGGTTTACCAGTATTTGGATTTGAGGTTGGTTCGAACGTTTTTCGAGTAATGATTCTTAGTCCAAACATTTAAAATTTTCAGATTCAACAGCCGCCTGGTTCGCTGTCTCGCATCCGGAACGTACATAGTACGAGCATTGCTGATCCTAGGTTGCACCCTTTACACTCCGGCCGTTGCTCTGAACACCGTCGTTGGAGTCCCGTATTGGGCCTCGCTCCTCCTGATCACGGTCACCACGATTGCATTCAATCTTCTGGGTGGCCTGAAGGCTGCCATCACGGCGGATGTGATCCAAGGGGTCACAATGATTCTGATCATGATCGCCATCGTCATCCAGTCCATGGTCAATATCTGGGGAATCGATGAGATCGTTACCATTCCGGCTGAAAAAGGTCTGTAGAATTCGGTATTCTAGAAACTTAACAATCACAAACGTTCTATTCCGCAGGTCGCCTAACATTCTTCAACTTCACCGGTGACTTGACGGTTCGAGTGGATACCACTTCGGCCTGGCTCGGACAGCTGTTCATGTCATTGAGCATCTTCGGTTGCCAGCAAAGTTTCGTTCAGCGATACCTTAGTATGGGCTCGTTTCGGGAAATTCAACGCACCTTGATGACCAACGTTCCGATCATAATCATCCTCTTCACGTTGGTTTGGATTGTTGGGATGGGGATCTTCTCGGTGTACGTCGATTGTGACCCGATGGCCGCTGGTTTCATAAGCAAGATCGACGAAATAGCGGCATTCTTCGTGCAGGATAAGTTCTCCTACCTTCCGGGATTCCTGGGTCTCTTCATGGGATCGCTGCTGAACGGAGCGCTGACGTTGAATGTTTCCAACATTAACGCTGCGGCTACTGTCACGTGGGAGGACTTTCTGGCACCACTGCCGTGCTTCAAAGATACGCGTGACAAGAAGCAGCTGAAGATGATCCGACTGATCGGTGCCATTTACGGAGTAGTCGTTATGGGAATAGGATTCGCCGTCGGTTTGCTTTCGGGGGTGATCGAGAGTAGCATGTTGATGACCTCGGCTACATCCGGTCCCCTGCTAGGGGTTTTCCTACTCGCAATGCTCGTCCCCGCGGCCAACTGGAAAGGGGCAGCCAGTGGAATGATCATTTCCCATATCGTGACCCTTTGGATCACGTTTGGAGGGTTGACAATCGATAACCAGACACCACTTCTACCTACTTCTGTCGAGGTAAGTTTACTCTGTTAAATTCGACTTACTTTGGCGAAGTCAACCGAGATAATTCTATTCGCAGGGTTGCACAAACGAGACCTTTGCCCAGTCAATCGCGAGGCCATCAGATTCGTGGCTGTTATCCACCATCACGAATGCTCCACCGGAGGTACCGTTTCAGAATATAACCGCCACCGATTCGTCGTCATTCCAGTTTCCGGAAAGCATCTACGCAGTGTCCTACATGTACTACAGCTTGATCGGAACATTTATCACTATGGTGATCGGAACGATCGTCAGCTATGCCACCAGCCACCCGGATGATGCCTACGATCAGAGGTTGCTCCATTCTGCGGTCCACAAGTTGAGTCGAGCATTGCCGGGAAAGGAACGATGCTATGTGGTTAATCCAAAGATCAAACCAAAATTTGAGACGAATCTACAGGGGCAATGTAATGCGGCATTCGAGGAGAAACCGTAAGGCGGAGTTTTGCTATGTACCAATTTCAAGCTGAACATTGCATTAGGTCCTAAGTAACATTGGTCGATTATCTTCGTTGACTTTCTCTTCGTTAATAACATGAGTACATAACTGTATCTTGTTGTGTTTGTTGCATTAGATGCTAGATAAAATCTTATTTTATCGATCTGTGTGCTGAAAATACCTGGGAATGTCTTAAAATGGTCGTGGAGATACAAAGAGAAAGTCGACGAAGAGAATCTGTCGATGTTACTTAGGATCTAATGTTCAGCTTGATTTGTATAGGATAATTTTAGAGAGCTATACCTAATTAATTATTATAAGATCAAGCTGTAGTTTATTGACTGGATATTTTTATTTTTGAGAAATCCTTTTAAATAACTTTGCTTATTATTAATTTGTAGATGGCTAACAATGCTAAAAAAAACCTGAAAATAACCATTAGAAGTTCTTATGGTGAATGGTTGCCGGAGCCTTATTTTTTATGGATCTCATTATAACAGTAGTGTTCGAGATTTGTGCTCTAGAAAATTGAAAGTTATAGTAAGAGCACAGACAAACACATTTAATATTTCTCACTGTAAAACATCGTCGCTGAAACATTAGCGCCATCTGTTGAGTACACTGTGGTGGGTAGTACGCTGAACAGATGGCGGTAGTGTGTAAACGTCAAATGCAAGGAAAATGACTATGCGCGCCACAGGTGGCGGTACTACCAACTACGATACTTTTAAATTAACCGTTAAATGCTTGTTCAATGAACAACTTACGAGTGTTATGTCTGTTTGTGTGTGGTAAAAGTCTAAATCATTACTTAGCACTTAGGTTCTAAGTATTGTGTGTGGCAGGATAATTTCTCAAAAAGCGATTATACCATCTGTTTTCTGTTTATGAGCGTACGACTTCCATTGATTAAACACACGGCGGCTCTTTATCCAGGATTCGCTCCTCAAGCCACTGCCATAAAATATTATCTAAGTTACACACCTGTGTATAATCCTAATGGGCGGGGTTGCAGCGCGCGTCACCAAATTAGAATTTAACATAAGCGTGACATTATATCAAGAAAAAAAATTAGTTCTGCTAAAGGTTTCTCCGGAACTCACCTTTGAATTCATTTGTCATACTCCAAAAAGATTCAATTGAATTATTCTCAGAACTGAATTCATTTCTAAAATCGCTTTGGATTTTCTCCTTCCCTTGGAATTCAACTTACAATTTTTAAATTCTCCTTATAAATAAATATAGTTCTACTAACATATTGCTTGGATTTAGCATGGCATATGTAATTGTACAAATCTTGGGTGGTCAACTATCCTCACAAATACCCCCCTCCGGAAGCTTCTTTGAAGGGCAGTGAGTTTATATCAGTTTACCCACCGACAAACCGACATGCAACTCAAACTTAACTCTTGATCGAGAATCCGTAACGGCCGATTAAAATGTGCAGCGATCCCATCTGTCAAAACCACAGAATTTTTTTATTTATCTAGATAAAAATAATTTGTTCGGAATATATTGGACACGAACCAACTCATAAATTTTGTTCGCGTGTTCGTGGCTAGGATAAACATTTTCCGCGAACACGGCGGCAGATGTCAGTTTTGTGCTTTGAACAGAAATTTCTTTTTAATTTGTATGCCATTCATGTCGGTTTGTAGGTGGTTTCCTGATCTTTGTACAAGTTGAGCGAATTCCAAGTAGAGCAAGGAATTTTGTAGAAGTTTTTGGAACTACATAGAAGCTCTGCTAGATTTTGGAGGATTTCGGCGGGATTCAGGGAGTTTTGTAGATGGGAATATTTTTGAAATTGCAATGATTAAATTAAATTTACTAGTTCAGACATCTTTGAAAAAAAAAGTTTCGAACCAATTATATTAGGGTTTCCCTATTTTGACATTATTTAATCACCTGAAAATCACTTTAAAGGGTGTCCACGATGAATTGCCACACTATGAAATTGCTCTAACTTTTTAACCGTTGGGTAGAATTTAATGAAAATTTGGGTGGATTTAGTTCATAGTGCATTATTTACATCCTGCAAGTTTTAAAGTCCTGTGATCAAAACTCGCGGAAATGGAGTCGAAAGAACAGCTCGTGCGTGATAAAATCTTGCGCATTCATCACGAGAACAAGGATCTCTCGCATCGTTCCATCGCTAAAACGTTGGGAATCGCGAATTCCACGGTGTCGCGAGTGATTAAGCGGTTCGAGGAACGGTTGACCACTGATCGGAAGCCCAGAAGTGAAGGAAAAAGTATTCCGTACAACACCAAAAATCACAACCGCGTAGTTGGGGCCTTCAACCGAAATCCGAACGTCTCCGTTAGGGATGTGGCTAAGAAGCTGCACCTAAGCCGAAGTTTTGTCCAGAAGGCCAAAACTAAGGCTGGGCTTCGAACGTTCAAGGTACAAAAGGCCCATAATCGCGACGAGAAGCAGAACAAGTCCGCCAAAACCCGTGCCAGGAAGTTGTACCTCAACATTCTGACGAAAGTTGAATGCTGCATCATGGACGACGAAACATATGTGAAGGCCGACTTCAAACAGATCCCCGGCAACCTGTTTTTCACGGCCAAGGATAAGTTCAGCGTTCCGGAGCATGTCCGCACTCAGAAGATGTCCAAATTTGCGAAGAAATTCCTGGTTTGGCAAGCCATCTGCACGTGCGGGAAGCGGAGTGCACCTTTCGTGACCCAGGACACGATGAACGGACAGGTGTACATAAAAGAGTGCCTCCAGAAGCGGCTGCTTCCTCTCCTGAAGGCCCACAACGTCCCAACAATCTTCTGGCTGGATTTGGCCTCATGCCACTACTCCAAGGACGTGCTGAAGTGGTATGCGGACAATAAGGTCAATTTATGTGCCAAAAATGTTCAACCCTCCCAACACTCCGGAGCTCCGCCCCATCGAGAAGTACTGGGCGATTATGAAGCAGCACCTTCTTAAACGACCTAAGGTAGTGAAGACAGTCGAGGAACTGAAGAAAGTATGGGTTTACATGCAAAAAACGGTTGATTCACAGGTTGTGCAGAATCTTATGGCCGGGGTTAAGGCCAAGGTGCGGGCATTTGCGTATGGACTGTAAATAAAATACGAGTAAAATGGTAAAATGAAGTTTAATAGTTATTTCTCAATCCCTGAAAATTTGATGGCAATCGGATGAAAACTCGAATTTTGCGAATCAATTTTGTGTGTGGCAATTTCATCGTGGACACCCTTTAGGTACAACAACACCAGCCCACAAGAATAAAAACCGCGCTTTTTCGGGGGCAAAACGCTGCAGACAGCGAAACGAAAGCGAACGCAAAACAAACGCTTCAAAACCGCGCGAACAGCGTTTACTTGCCGCGTTTAAAAAAAAAAAAAAACGCGGCGAATTATTCGCTGCAGCCGCGTTAAAAACGTGTCAGTTTGGGGGACCTTAAAGGAAACTCTTACCAAACCGCCCGCATTGGAAGATTGCCTGCACATCAAGGGGTGGTCACTCTAAACACACATTTTACGCCAAATTTCTACTCAGTGTGCCGCAGCTGTAGTGGCAGTGCCGAGTGTGCTAGTCATTGGACTGAAATTGTTTGGTTTTGAATAATGGTATGTTTGGCAACCCGATTAATTTGAAAGCTCAATTCAAGGCCCCTTTCGTGATTCCTGCTAGAGCCCACCAATGGCCGCCACGTAGGCTATACATGCTCTTCCACTTCGAATTTTCATTCACACAAATCTCGGCAATTAATGCCCCATTTCACATGAAATTGCTGCTTCATGTATGCTGCAGTGCAGCAAACGTGGAGTAACTATTTCATTGTGGTACGTGTCGTAGAAGCTGATATTTGTGCACTTAAAGTTTCGAAGTGGAAACGAGAACAAAGATCTCACAGCGAAACACCTTAACTCAACAAGCAGTGAAATTCGAAAAATCTGAACCAAGCCAACGACACTCTTGGTGAAATTTACCGTGAGCGGTCTTAGCGTTGGGACACAACCAAGAAAATAAATACGATGATACACTCCAGCTGGACAAGCTGATACCGGACAAATTGGCCCGACCGGAGGATCCCTTCGAGAAGGCGGTCGAATTCTTCCAACCACTTGATGAATACAGCATTGAAACCGTGATTGAAACGAATCTGTTTGTATTCCAAATCTACAGACGCTGGGACAAACTGCTACTGATATTACCTGGCTCATGCAAACGATGCCAGAGGGAGGGGCTCTTCCGGGGATCGGAATTGACTTCGGTGAACAACGATGGCTATCTGGCAGCGAAGAGAGATAAGGCCCAAGCGCAATGACAGAGGAAGCGGAACGGCATCGGCAGCGGAGAAGCCCGATCTGAGTAAGCCAACTTCTCCGATTGAAAACTTGTTGGAACCAAATCGACTTCGGTTAAGGCCCACGCACATTAGATCCGGATCGGACGCGTTGCGGCAAAGTGACAGCTAAATCTATTGTCTATTTGCATGCCGTGTAGTGTTAAAATTAGTTTATATGAGCCATTTTCTTTTGCCTAGCAAACAAAGAACTTGTGTATCATTTTGTTTTCCGTACAGTGACCCGGCTTTGTGAGTTAAATAAAGAAACAATTCCATCACAGCCAAAGTAGTTGCCGCAGTACGAAAAGTTTGTTTAACCAACATTGTAGTGTTTCACACTTTGTTGCGTCAGAATTTGGTTGCGACATAACTTGTATCGCGAGAGTGTGAGGTTGTTGCGCGAGTTTGTTGCATCGGGTTATGCTAGTTTCATATAGCAAACATTATTTACGCTTGTGTTGAGCGACATTAACACGAAGTTGTTTTGTTTGTGTGTTTCACGTTTGTGTTTCGTTGATAAAGTTTGATCGTTGTAAAAGTGGGTCTCGATCGTTTCGATACACATCAGTTGAAGTTTGTTTTGTTTGGCAAGATTAACAGTTTATGCTGTATGCACGGAAAGAAAAACCATTTGAAAAATTGAGCAAAAAGTTTTGGAAAAATTGTTTTAAAAATTGTGTTTTGATTTAATCAACTGTTTGTTGTGATCAAGTTTGTTCGATTATTACACTGAAAGAAATTTTTAATTGTTTTTGTGTGATAATTTATCGAATCGGTTTTTCAGTTTTCTTTGTTTAGTACGCTGTCAAGAATGCCGTTGGTAAGGCACGTAGAGCCGTACGTACCTAGTACGATCATAGAGGTAACTCTAAGACTAGAAGGTCCCGAAATAATGTGCTCAACTTTTTGGCTCAGCTCTGGTACTCTCTTCGGTCCCAAGCTAATCGATTCACCCCTCGAAACATAGGAAAAACCAATAACCCCTCATTTTATCTGTCAAACTTTCATAGCGAATCAAAACAAACATTTCGTAGTACTAGAATTTCGAATAGAATAGGGTACATTAATCGTTTGCTTGGGACCAATAGGCTACTAAAGTGGTGAGCCAATTTGAAATCGTTAGTTTCGTATTGATTGTTGGTACGATTCCGTTTGGCCAGTTCCTGGAGCAGATGGAATGGATTTTCCTCGACAACAAGGTGACAGATGCTGATGACAAGAAAGCATCGTTTCTGGCGGCATGCGATAAAGAAGTTTACAGCAAGTTGAAGCTTCTTTTTCCTGGGAAGGATTTGAAGACGGTGTCATTTAAGGATATCACCGATACCTTAAAGAAGCGGTACGACAAAACTGAAAGCGACATGATCCAACGTTTCAAGTTCTACCGAAAGCGCAGAGGATTTCATTCTTGGTTTGAAGCTGCAAGCGGAGATGTGCGAGTTTGGTGATTTTAAGGACATCGCAATTCGTGACAAGCTTGTGTGTGGCATCAACGACCCGGATGTGCAACAGCGTTTATTTGATGAAGAGAATCTGACGCTTAGTAAGACGGAGAAGATCATCATCAACAGGGAGATAGCTGGAGCAAGGCGTAAGCTAGTGTCCCGTGAATCCGGTCGTGTGAGTGTTTTGAACAGGCTTGGTAAACGCGAAGAGCGAACAGTTTCACGTGGAAGATCCCGAGGTAGGAGTCGCGGACCAAGTAGGCGAAGCAGAAGTCGTAGTCGTTCTGTTTCTTTCGACCGTAGAAATCGTTCTTCGTTTAGATCACGGAAGTTTCACTGCAGCTTCTGTGACAGAGATGGTCACACGCGTCGCTTATGTTATGATCGGAAGAACAAAGAGAGGAAATCTGTGAAGTTTGTCGATTCTCCTGCAGCAAAGCCGAAGTTGACGGAGTATCAGAAAAGTTTGCGTCGTCGGCTGAACAGATCTATTTCGGATGATGAGGAGATGGAGTGTATGTTGATCTCTTCCATCAAAACCATCAACGAACCGTGTTTCCGCACAGTTGTAGTCGAAGGTGTGCGATTAGAGATGGAAATAGACTGCGGAGCTGCAGTTTCCGTCATCAGTAGTGAGACGTACGAGGGAGAATTCGCCGATATCTCGATGCAGAAGTGTACCAAGAAGTTGGCAGTGATCAGCGGAAGTCGATTAGCGGTCGAAGGACAGATTCCGGTGCAGGTTGAGTTGAACGGACGACGAAAGACTGTTAAGCTGATTGTCTTGAGGAGTGGAAGCTCGTTTACACCGCTACTTGGACGTGATTGGCTTGACATCTTCTATCCTGACTTGAGAAATGCGTTTGGCAATGGGGCGAACGTGAACCAACTGTCGTTTCCGGCTTCAGAGGAACAAATTGTGGACGATGTCAAAGGTAGGTTTGCCAATATTTTTGATAAATCCATGTTTACGCCGATCAAAGGTTTTCAGGCAGATTTAGTGTTGAAAAAGGGAGCAGCGCCAATATTCAAGCGTGCATATGACGTTCCATTACGTTTGAAAGATAAAGTTGATGAACAATTGGAAAGTTTGGAAAAAGATGGCGTCATAACACCGATCGATGTAAGTGAGTGGGCATCGCCGGTGATTGTTGTAGTGAAGAAAGATGGTGATGGATGGTGATCGACTGTAAGGTTTCGATCAACCAGGTGATCATTCCGAACACATATCCGCTTCCGTTGGCTCAAGATATTTTTGCTTCACTAGCTGGTGCTAAAGTTTTTTGTTCACTAGATCTGGCTGGAGCGTACACACAGTTGTTGTTGTCTGAAAAGTCTAAGAAAATTATGGTGATTAATACAGTAAAAGGTTTGTTTTCGTATAATCGTCTACCACAAGGTGCTTCTTCAAGTGCTGCTATTTTTCAGCGAGTCATGGATCAGGTTGTGAAAGGTATTAACGGAATTTATTGCTACCTTGACGATGTTTTGATAGCTGGTGAGGATTATGAGGACTGTTTACGAAAGCTTTATTTGGTTTTAGAACGACTTTCTAATGCCAACATAAAAGTTAATTTGCAAAAATGCAAGTGGTTTGTGAAAAGTTTGCCATTTCTGGGCCACGTGTTGACAGAAAAAGGTTTGTTACCGAGTCCAGAAAAGGTCGAGACGATTCGGAGAGCAAAGGTTCCGAATAACCTCACCGAGCTTAAGGCATTTTTGGGTTTGATAAACTATTATGGCAAGTTTATTCCCAATTTATGCTCACGTTCAAGCTGTTTGTATCGTTTACTCAAGAAAGATGTTAAGTTTGTCTGGACTGATGAGTGTACTAATGTATTTAATGATAGTAAGCAGTTGTTGTTGTCTTCAAAACTGTTAGAATTTTTTGATCCTAAAAAGCCTGTCGTTGTTGTGACAGATGCTTGTAGCTATGGGTTAGGTGGCGTGGTTGCTCACGAAATCAATGGAGAAGAGAGGCCTATTAGTTTTACCTCCTTCAGTTTAACAAATTCCCAAAAATCCTACCCAATTTTACACTTGGAAGCGTTGGCTATTGTGAGTACCATAAAGAAGTTCCACAAGTTTTTGTTTGGAAAGAAGTTTACTGTGTACACGGATCATAAGCCGTTGATAGGCATATTCGGTAAAGAAGGAAAAAATTCGTTGTTCGTGAAGCGTTTGCAGAGATATGTAATGGAACTAAACATTTACGACTTTGACAACCGTCATCGAAAATGGGTAATGCTGCTTTCTGCTCAAGGTTTCCTTTACCTGGTGAGGTGCCAATTTCGTTGCAACAGGAGTTTATTAAAAGTTTGAATGTACACAATGAGTCTCCTTTGGACCATGTTTTGATTGCAAATGAAACAAAGCAAGATGAGTTTATTCTGAAAATAGTTTATTACATGAAGCATGGTTGGCCAAAGAAGTTGGAGCGCAATCTTTTAGATGTTTATGCTCAGCATCAAGATCTTGAACTCGTCGATGGTTGTTTATTGTACCAAGATCGTATTTTTATTCCTGCTAGTTTGCAAAAGCAGATGTTGAAGTTGTTGCACAAGAATCACTCCGGAATTACGAAGATCAAGCAGATGGCAAGAAGAACGGTTTACTGGTATGGTATGAACAGTGACATTAAAAGTTTTGTCAAGTCATGTAGTGTGTGTTGCCAGATGAATGTAGTTCATAAATCAGTTTCAAATTCCAGTTGGATTCCTACGACTAAACCATTTACGCGTATTCATGCGGATTTCTTTTACTTCGACAAGAAAGTTTTCCTGGTTATTGTGAACAGTTTCTCGAAATGGCTCGAGGTTAAGTACATGCAGTTGGGAACAGATTCCAGGAGAGTTAAATCGAAGTTCATGAGCGTTTTCGCGAGGTTTGGGTTACCAGACGTAGTTGTTACGGATGGTGGACCACCGTTTAACTCGAAAGATTTGATCGAAGCATAGAATTAAGGTGATGAAGAGTCCACCTTACAACCCGTCGAGTAACGGTCAAGCGGAGCGCATGGTTCGAGTCGTTAAAGAAGGTTTAAAGAAGTTTTTACTAGATCCGGAATTGGCTGGTTTGAGTACTGAAGACTTAGTTTCGTACTTCTTGTTTGGCTACCGGAACACTTGCTTGGAAGAGGATCATTCGTTTCCTTTCGAGAGATTGTTTAGTTTTAAACCAAAGACGCTGTTGGATTTAACCAATCCTAGAAATAGTTTTAAGAATCATTCGACGAAACCCAAGAAAGTGGATAATCGTGTTGTGTTTAGTCCTAGTCCTAAGAAACATGACTGCATTGACAAGTTACGTCCTGGAGATATAGTTTATTACAAAAAATTTAGACCTACAGATAAAGGGTGATACGGTCAAAATTTGGTCAAGGGAAAACGCGTGTAAATCGGTGAAATCGTTTATTTAAAAAATCAAATTAAATTTCAATTAGTATAAAATTCAGGAAAAATATTCAGTTAGGCTTCCGCTTTTCCAAATCCGAATTGCCGGGCCTTACGCTTGACCCCTACCATCAGATTTTGTACAGCCACCTTGTCCAACTTCTTCGCCGCAGAAAGCCAGTTTGCCTTGAACTGCTGCTCGCCCTTAGCAGTTTTTTTGGTCTTCTTTAGGTTCCGCTTGACAATAGCCCAGTATTTCTCAATTGGGCGGAGCTCTGGCGTGTTAGGAGGGTTCTTGTCCTTGGGAACCACCTGCACGTTGTTGGCGGCGTACCACTCCATGGCCTTTTTACCGTAATGGCAAGATGCCAAATCCGGCCAAAACAGTACGGAACAACCGTGTTTCTTCAGGAAAGGCAGCAGACGTTTATTCAAACACTCTTTCACGTAAATTTCTTGGTTGACAGTCCCGGAAGCTATGAAAATGCTGCTTTTCAAGCCACAGGTACAGATGGCTTGCCAAACCAGATATTTCTTTGCGAACTTTGACAGTTTCATGTGCTTGAAAACATCTGCTACCTTTCCCCTTCCTTTTGCCGTATAAAACTCCTGTCCCGGAAGCTGCTTGTAGTCGGCTTTGACGTAGGTTTCGTCGTCCATTACCACGCAGTCAAACTTCGTCAGCATCGTCGTGTACAGCCTCCGGGATCGCGCTTTGGCCGTCGTATTTTGTTTATCATCGCGATTTGGAGTCACTACCTTCTTGTAAGTCGATAGTCCGGCTCGTTTTTTGGCTCGATGCACGGTTGTAGACGATACACCCAGCTTATTTGCGGCATCTCGGAGAGAGAGGTTAGGGTTTCGCTTGAAACTACCGGCAACTCTCTTTGTCGTCTCAGCGGCTTCCGGTTTTCGATTTCCCCCCGATCCAGACTTCCTGGCTGTCGACAAACGTTCCCCAAACACTTTAATTACATTTGTAACGGTTGATTTGGCAACTTTTAGCGATTTTGCCAACTTTGCGTGCGAGTAGCTCGGATTTTCGCGATGCGCGAGCAAAATTTTGATACGCTGCTCTTCTTGCTAGGACGGCATTTTGACAACTGAAGAGTGAATTCCAAAATCAAAATAGGAGCAACATTCTACACACACACACCTTCAAAATGAGGGGTGTTCAGGTTTTTTAAATGCAAAATTGAAAGAAATACGTCAAGTTGATATTGACCAAATTTTGACCGTATCACCCTTTATTAGACGATGGTTAGAAGCCAAGTTTCTTAAACGTATCTCCTCGCATGTTTTTCAGGTTTCCGTTGGAGGGAGAGTTTACTCTGCTCACCGAAATCAGCTGAAGCTGGTGGGTACCCCAAAGCGCCGAGGTTTGTTCTTGGGGAGGAGCGAGAGCAGTCAACGGAGGAAGCGTGCTAGAGAATACGATGACGATGACGATAGACTTAGCATCAACGAAGAGGGCGATTTTTACGGATTCGCCTCGGATTCTTTCATATATGCTGACGGGGATGGTCGCAACAGGGTTAACGTTCGTGATCCTGAGTCGGTTGACCATTAATCCACCCCCCCTCCCCCCTTTGTCACATTTTTTGTATACACCTTAATTTTTTTTTGTATGGCTCGTCACAGTTTTCACAAAACCCCCCTCCCCCCTAAATGTGTGACATAAATAATATACGATCCCTAAACAAAACGTTGATTATTCTTTCCTTGCCAATCGAACGTAAAATATCAACATCGTCGGATAGGGGCTACTTTCCTCAACCCGTAGGCGAGCTTTGAGTCACGAGAAAATGGTTTCCGAAGTTTTGTTCGCAATAGCTGATGTGCTCTTTTTTGATGTTGGTCTTGATTTGCTCGATTGGTTCCGCTATTTGACAGCTCAATTGGTTCCCGAGATTCTATTCGCCAGACTATGAATATACCTATAATACCAACAGCAGTGTTTGACGGTAGGCAGCATGTCCCGGGCTCAAATCGTTTATTTTGCTGTGCTGGGCCCGCTGTCACGGTATAACATGTTGCCTACGCGCCTGCCACTGGACTGCAAAATACAGATGAATTTTTCATGACCATTGTTGCAGTTTTCAATGCTGAAGAACGATGAACTACCTACCTGGTGCAGCAGCAACAGCTGCCACCGTGAAGGAAGCGATCAGACGGGCGAAAAGTAGCAGCTCTGTTTCACGATGATCAGCTCCGGTCATCCTGGTAGTACAATTATTTTGGTTTCACTATTGATTGTGTGAACGCTGTTACCGTTGCGACGTAATATCCCAACTTGCTTGCCGAATAAAAACCTATTCGTATTAAAATTTCAATGATTAATTGTTAAATGTCTAATTATTATGTGTATATGTCTAAAAATAAATATGAAAGTTAATATAAACTTCTTGTTAGGAATAAACAAGTTTGTTAAAATACACATTTAGTACACACAACAACACGTTAAAATTGCTGCAGGGGACGGTTATTGGATTGTCGCGGGTGGATATAGGACTAATAGAAAGAAAGGAACAGAAAAAGGAGAAGAAGAAAAGAATGGCTAGCTACTGGGACTGGAGCAACAATCGAGGCTTTTTCCAAAGTACCACGGAAGTGAACAGATCATCGTGAAAATTAAGGAGACGAAGCTAGAACCTCGTGAGCGATTGTGGCCGTTTTTCCCCAGACACCCACGGAGCGAAAGGGGTTAGCCTGTACCGCGCGTATCTTGAAGTGTATCGGCTTGAGGCTTCGGCCTTGTGTTTTTTCGCGAAGAACCACGCTAGCTCCCAGTGTTACCCCCTTGTGGACCAAATCTCGGCAATCCAAGCCGGCCCTCGAGTTTTGAGGTTAAACCGACGACGCTCATCCCGACATCGCGTGCTGTTTCCCTGTGTGAGCCACGCCCGACGGTAACCTTGGCCTTAGCCCGAACCACGGTCAATCACACTGACTGATTCCCTGAGCGCACCCAACCAGACGACGGCGCCCAGTAAAAATAAAAAGGATTAAAGTGAATTTGTGTGTCGTTTGATCAATGAAAGATTGGACTCTTGAATAGCGATTCCATGACAAAAGCCGACCCTGAGAGTGAGAGGCCTTAAGCTCGAGCTAGCCAGTAAAAAGAGGCGGATATAGCCCTCCCCAGACGACCTTCGTGGCTAGACCAGAGGTTAGGGGAACCTTTAGACTAGCCCTTCTGGCTAGGCAGTAACAACGCAGTGTGGAATGATGTACTGCTTCGGACAGGTGTTAGGATGTGTCCTGGATTTGGCCGAAAATTCACGATTGCGGTTGCAAATCCAAACATTAAATTGCATCAATATCAATGATTTGACATTTGCACAGCGTAGGCGCAGAGATAGGGTAGTGTTGCCGGTAACTATAAAAATCATAACAATTTACAACCATGGGTGACATGCAATGCCAATTAGTGTACCCGCAGGTGCGCCCAACTGTGTTTTTGCTCACTGTGCGGAGTGACTAACCCCTTGCTGCACATTGTCGATTGTGACATTCTAGCACCCGTTAACGAATGCTTGAATCTGCTCAATGGCAAAACCAATATAGGCCTTTTTAATAGAAACTAGATCGTGACAGACGGAGCGGCTCGAAAACTTTGGTGACAAACCTGCTATTTCAATTTTTCAGTGTACCACATGGCAACACCACTACTACTGGATTGTACCACATGGCAACACTACTACCAACAATCAATACGAAACTAACGATTTTAAATTGGCTCACCACTTTAGTAGCCTATTGGTCCCAAGCAAACGATTAACGTACCCTATTCTAGTTGAAATTCTATTACTACACTATGTTTGTTTTGATTCGCTATGAAAGTTTGACAGATAACATCAGGGGTGTGTGGATTCATGCAGAACATGCAGGGGTGAGTGAAATAGCTTGGGACTGCTTGGGACCGTTGTTCTGGTACTGAGTGAGCCAAAAATAATAATGATTTTCTCCGGGACCCAGTGGTCTTAGAGTTACCTCTATGGTATTATTGTCAGTGCCAGGCCCTTTCGAATCTAACTTTTACAAAGCTAAAAATATTTCGTTCTCGCTCACAACTAGAGGTGGACAGTTCAGATTGTATGCAGGGCAGGTCCTTACACTGTCAGGAGAGAATGTCGGCGATGTTGTACTGAGCACATTCTCGAAGAATTCGGCCTAAATGATAACCTAGCTCATGTGGGGAATCAGCATAGTAATGCTTGAAAGTCATCTCGGCAGGAATACGATTGGATTGCTTACCGCTACGTATAAACGACCAAAAGGATGACGGGTCTTTACTTCGCGGTTAGCTCTATTCGTCCGATGTAGCTACGGAATACAGCAGTCTAATCGCAGTAATCTGTTTCGAGTGAATGTAGATTGATCCGGTTGTCAGCAGTCCGAGCCCTAAAATAGCGTTTTCTACGACGCACGACCTTACGGAGATGCTGTAACTCAGATGTCCACCACGGATGCTTAACGAATAACGTCTACTTTGTCTACGTGGAACAAGTTCCTCCAGAATGTTGTACAATTTCTCATAAAACATACGTACCGTTTCATCCGTATTTGTTGCACAAAACACTTCAATCCAATCGACGTTAATGATAGGGTAGTTCAATCCTGGAAAGCTGCAACGTCGAAAATCAAAATAATTGACGATGTTTGAGTCACTGGCAAGTTGCATGTAGGAGTCGTTCACGTCGATGCGAAGAACAAACGGCTTATGATGGTTGTCGTTTCTGAGGAGCGATGACAGAGGTTCGATGAGCTCAACAAGGTTTGGTTCGTTTACAAGTGTTACCAAATCAAGTGTACGACCATTCTTATTAAGCAGGCTGTTGAGCTGATGTAGACCGGAGGCTTCCATAGATTCAACCAAAGCGATTTCCTGTTCAGTAGAAGTGTTGGACGGAAGCTTGCTATTGACATCTTCATCATACGACCATACCAACGATAACAATTCTGTCAGAATCCGAGGCACGTTCACAGATCTGATGAACTGCTGCAGAGTGCGTTGAGTACAGTGACTTGCTCGATATTACCACAACATATGAGCTCTTCTGAACTGCAGTTGAGGTTGGCTTCAACCGCAATTAAAACTCCACCTCCACACTGAAGGTTGCTAGAAGCTGCACTGCGATCACAGCGAAATAACCATAGAGGTAACTCTAAGACCACTGGGTCCCGAAGAAAATCATTATTATTTTTGGCTCACTCAGTACCAGAACAACGGTCCGAAGCAGTCCCAAGCTATTTCACTCACCCCTGCATGTTCTGCATGAATCCACACACCCCTGATGTTATCTGTCAAACTTTCATAGCGAATCAAAACAAACATAGTGTAGTAATAGAATTTCAACTAGAATAGGGTACGTTAATCGTTTGCTTGCGACCAATAGGCTACTAAAGTGGTGAGCCAATTTAAAATCGTTAGTTTCGTATTGATTGTTGGAAATACCGAGTAGTTGGCAGTGAACTCAGAGCTAGCGACATCAGGATGAAGCCAAGTCTCTGTGAGTACTATTACCAACAATCAATACGAAACTAACGATTTTAAATTGGCTCACCACTTTAGTAGCCTATTGGTCCCAAGCAAACGATTAACGTACCCTATTCTAGTTGAAATTCTATTACTACACTATGTTTGTTTTGATTCGCTATGAAAGTTTGACAGATAACATCAGGGGTGTGTGGATTCATGCAGAACATGCAGGGGTGAGTGAAATAGCTTGGGACTGCTTGGGACCGTTGTTCTGGTACTGAGTGAGCCAAAAATAATAATGATTTTCTTCGGGACCCAGTGGTCTTAGAGTTACCTCTATGCTACTACTGGATTGTACTAGCATTTTCACCAAATGTATTAGAATGTTTTGGTTCTATCTCTTTCACTCTACTCAAAACTGAAATGCATAAAAAAATGACAAAATGATACACTCTTTGCACACTGTCAAATAATCATTGTACACAAAATCAACTTTGTTCAAATCAAAACAAAAAAACTAACCCATCTGGTGGATGATGGCACAAGCTTCCAAGAAAATTCTATTACGGTGAACCACATTATTATAATGGATTTCTTCGCCAGTTAGTCGTCTGTCACTTCGTTTGTGGTTGTGAGCATAAATTTTTGCCTTGAGACATAGGAAGCGGAACACTTTTTTACTTTTCCTGATAAATTGATTCATCTGAGATGCTGCAAAACTTAATGTACAGTTGAAAAATTTAATTCTGTAACGTTTTGGAAAAGATCCTGCTGGTGTTCGGGAATATTTTTGTTGAGAAAAATGAAAGATTAGAAAAGTGCCTTAGTGGTTATGATCTTCCGGATTTCTTGTGTGTGAATAGTTAATGTGCAAATCAGTTCAGATTTGTGGAAAATCGTACAATAAGACAATTGCCTATGGAAATTGGCAAGATTTTGAATAAAA